CTTCCTTCCTTCCTTCCTTCCTTCCTTCCTTCCTTCCTTCCTTCCTTCCTTTCTTTCTTTCTTTCTTTCTTTCTTTCTTTCTTTCTTTCATTTTCCCCCCTTAGCACCCTACTGAGAGTATTGGATGTATTTGCACTGGATTTTAAGTCTTTAGAAATTTATCTCTCTTCAAATAATGAACAGTAGTATCCAATATTTAAATAATTTGAGTACCCCTCCCACCATCATCAAGTTCTAGATTTCTCTACTGCTCCGTGGTGGATGTTTCCTTCAGGACTAAATTTTCTCTCTTCCATTTGTGCTCTCAGCGGTGACCTCTTGCTATGTCTCTAACCTCCCAGGTGAAGTTTTAGCATGAGTATTTCCCATGGAGGGAGTAGGCTTGCTTCCCAGAGTATGCTCTGACACTTCCTGGCTTGTGCTTTGGACACTTCCTTGTTCTCTGTGTACCACGTTTTAATAGCATCGACTTCTGGAGGTTGCGGTGAGAACAGAAACAGGAAGCAATCAGCGCCAGTGGTCCGTTTCCAGGTCAGGGCTACTCTGGAGTGAGTCAAAACGAAGACATCTCCTGTCGATGCAGAGGAATTTGGAAAGGCTTCCAGCCATCTCCATTAGAAACTGTGGTCAGGGAAAAAGCCAGGGCCGTGCTTCGCTGAGCTAAGTTCAAATGGCTTCTGCTCCATTAAGGATTATAGAGTATATTAAACAACATCAACACTCCTTTGCTCTCTGTTGCTTTCCACCAGTTTGAACTCCAGTGGATGCTGATCCATTGTGACCCCCTGAGACCCAGGAGAGAGACATGTCATGAGCTGCCAGTCAGAATCACAGTGAGTCCTCGAACCACCTGCAAAAGCTGCTTCTCCCCATGTCACTGGCTAGTAAATACCAGTATCTCTGTGTATGTCTCTTCTCCTGGAGAAGTGCTTTGCTGAACTGACTAGCTGGGAATTAAAGAAACACAGGTCCTTCTTGCAACTTGGCTGCAGAAACCATCACTGGCAGACCTGTGTCCGGTACTCCCTTTGGCGGCTTACCATCACCATTCAGAAGTGTCCCTGCAAGAGCACTGGGGGTGGGGGGGATCTCTTGGAAGGATCTGGGGACAGCCATAGGCTACATTGAGGAGGGTGGGGTGGAGGAACAACTGTGCATTTAGGTTTTGGTGCAGCTGCCAGGAAAGGGTTAACTGGGACTGTTGTCATTCTATCCCTCCTCCCAGGCCTGTTAGCTCTCCTCCAATCCCCAGGACCCTCTCCAAGGCCATTCATAAAGAGAAGGAACCCAGGTCCCCTTGGCCAGGCACCTTTGCAACCATTACCCTGGGTGGATTTGGAAGTCCAGGTGCCACTTTATGCGCTCAGCAGGGTCTTGAAGTCTAGAAGGCTGCAGAGTCAGGCCAGAGGATTGGCAGAGAGCAACAGGGATGGCCTGGACTGCCTGGGGACGAGGAGCACTTGGGTTGTCACTGATGCTGTCTGGGCTCCGCTTATGTGCTGCTCAAGTAAGTTGTGTGTGAATTTGTCCCGCACCTTATTTCTCTCCATCTTTTTTTGTCCACAGACCAGCCAGACCACCGATAAGGTAAGCTGGGGAAAAAAAAAAAGAAAACACTCCGTTCCCCAAGCATGTGATAGGAAAAGTAGGTAATGAAGCTGTCCTGGTTGTGAGAAGCCACGGAGCACACTCAGGGCTCTCAGGCCAGCTGCCCTGCAGCCTGAAGTACTTCCGGCATGTAGGGTCTGACTGGGCACCTCTGAGGATCCATCGATGTGGGAAAAACGGGCTATTTCCCAACTTTGACTCTAACACTAAAGGCACAGTACTGAGAGTAACCCATGATTCAAGACTAAGGCTTACATTTTTGCTGTGTATTCTTGTTGCGTACCTCTTCCCTCAACCCGGATTGCACCTAGAAATTCAGGAGAGCTTTCTTCAGCTTCTGCTGCTGTAGAAAAACCACTAAGCCTCAAGATCCTGCTAGCGATTTAGGACTGAAGCCTGGCAGCCCTGGATCCCAACAGAACTCCAACAACTTCTCCCTAGACTGCCCGCCCCCCTCTTCCCCTGGCTCCTGGCAAGGGAGAGTACAGCAGCCAGGCAGGGAGGCCCGGGGAGGTTTGAGGTTTCACTTACAGAGACCCCATTGTAACCTGTCTGGTCCTTGGAGTTCAGGAAAACAAAGTCTTTCCTGATTAAAGCAGCCTTTCCCTCTCCCCCCTCCCTTTCCCCCTTCTCCTCCCTCTAGAAGCAGGGGGGGGGGAGAGGGGGAAACGTTCCTTAAAGCAACAAGTTTATACTGTTTCAGGCGCCACTATTCCCTGTAGACCTGTCAAAACAGCTGTCTGCAAGGGACACACAAGGGCTCACAAGCTAAGGGTCTGTTTGAAATTTGTGTAGCTTTTGAAGCGAGGTGCAAAGACCTCTTGTCAGGGAGTGTCACTGCTGGTGGAAGTGAAATGGGGTCAGGCTCCAAACGAAAGGCTCTTCTACCCCAATACCTCCCAAACCTCCCCCCGCCCCAACCCTGCTCCCAGTCTACAGGACAAAGAAAGGCTTGCAGTGGCAAAGTAACTGTTTGTCCTGGAGCAGCTTTAGTCTTGCCTGCTCGATTTCAGACAAATGACTGAGTGGTAGTGGAGGTATCAAATGACCCTGGTACTTATTACTTAACTCCTTTTGGCAAAAGTGGACATTAGATATCCCCTTCTTTTTAATGCATTCTGAGTAGGTGAGGCCCAGTGGACTCCCCTTCCATTTAAAGACATCGCTTCTATCCCACCTTGGACAGTTTACCTTGTAAAATGTGGAAACACTATGTTTTGGTTCAAAAAACGTATCCACCATAGAGAGGTAGCCTTGACCCGATGTGTGTGTGTGTGTGTGTGTGTGTGTGTGTGTGTGTGTAGTGGTAATGGTGGTGGTAGGGAATAAGGACCCTGCGTTGTTGCTCTGGGTGCACATTCTTCTCTACTAACCCCTGTGCGTTGTTTTTGGCAGAGAGGTCCTCCGGGTGAGCAGGGGCCTCCAGGGCCTCCCGGGCCTCCTGGAGTTCCGGGCATAGACGGCATTGATGTAAGTTTCTATGTACCCTGTTCTCTAACCAGCCCTTTTCCATTACTTCTTCAGCTTTGGATGAGGTGTTAGAAAGGTTCAAGTGGCCCCTCCCTGTCACTTCCATAGAACTAAGACTAAATGGTAGTGAAAGTTCTAGATTTGATAACTGTAGCCTGGGGATGGTTAGAGAAGAGACTGGTTCTGTTCCTGTAGATCCTTGGGGCAGCAGCTTCCATCTTTAGACCCTCACCCTGGCTCCTGCCAACATCTTCATGGTGTGCATGCCCAAGACTCTCCCGTGGGGGGACCCCTGCTACTCTTACTCATGAATGACTTTTACCTTTTTCTCTGTCTCCAGGGTGACCGAGGTCCAAAGGGTCCTCCTGGACCTCCGGTAAGTTGATTGGCATCATGGCGCCAGACTTCCTTCCTCAAGATGTGTTTTGTAGACTTGGGTGTGTGTTTGAAGAGTCTGAACTTGGCTTTATTTTCTCTCCCTGCTGCTCAGGGGCCCCCTGGAGACCCGGGCAAGCCAGGAGCACCAGGCAAGCCAGGCACACCGGGTGCTGATGTAAGTATTGAGTGCTCATGTGTGGGGGGGGGGGAAGGGAGGGAGGGAGAAAGGGGAGGGAGGAGAGTCATGTGGGTGCTGGTGAATAAATGGTTAGTTCTTATAGCTGGTAAGCTTCGTTTTCCTCGGGTACTCCCTGGATTCATTACAAAAAAGAATAGTTGGAATGAGGAAAGAGCACTTGCACTGCTCTTCCTGAGGACCAGGGTTCAATCCCCAGTACCCACAGGGCAGCTCACAACCATTCCAGGAGATCCGAGGCTCTCTTTTGATCTCTGGGAAACTGAACAAACATGGTGCACAGGTACACAAGTAGGCAAAATACCCAATAAACACAAAATAAGAAAATAGTTTAAACATTGAACAAAAGACACCACCACCAGAAAACAGGGTGGGTGTAGGAGATAACAAAGTATTTCAATTCCCAGTAATAAATAAAAAAATGAAAATTTGCTCCAAGTGAGTGTCGGGGTGTGTTTGGATATAATAGGGTCAGGAAATGCTTAGTACAGATAAACAAAACATTAAAAATCAGCTTGGGAGACGGGAAGTTAAAAATCAATTTGGGAAGACATTCAGATGTCCAGCTATATGGTAAATGGTATTTCTCTAGAGTGAAGTAAGTTCGGTTTTCTCAGCCTCTCCTCTCTCTGTGCACACTGCTCATAGTTAGTTTGGTCCTTCCTCAGAACCTGATTTTTGTCTCTGGGTTGCAAAGAGATGGTATTTGTTTTCCAGGGTTCCTTAAAGTCACCCTCCCAACCAACCTTCACTTGTTTCGCAAACCTAGAGGCTTTTCTAAAGAAAGAAAGCACCCCAAAACCTACACGTGTTATTTTCAAGGATTTTTGCAAGTTTTTCAAAAGCTTCATTGTTCTGTGAGAACAAACCAGCTGCATTTTAGCTGTTACTCAGGCATGCCTTTTCTGTTGCGATTAACTTGGTGAGGGTGTATATTTCTGTATTATTTAGTGTTTCAGGAGACAGACTTTGCTTACAAAGACTTAAGCCTCTAGTTTAATTTCTGTTTCTTTTTTTTTGTGGATTTCAAATGACAGTGAGTGCATAAGCACCCGTGGATTAATGTGTAAATAATATCAACTCATGTTTGGATGTTACAAATGAGATTACACAACTTATTGGCCTTCAAGATTTGAATTATTCTCAGAGGAAGAATGTCTGATAAATACAGGCCACTGGTTAAGTTCCTAATGTAATATAAGTTGACTTTCTACCTTTTTTTTTGGAGCTTCATCCTGCCTTTTGTTTCGGAGGAAGAGAAAATTTTCTGATTAAAATTTTAAAAACGTAGTTGAAACATAAACCATCCATCTGAAATCTTGTGTTCTTGTTGAACTTTAATTTCAGACAGAATGCTGGACTTCACTGTCCCTCAGTCTGTCTGTCTGTTTATGTATATAAGATCTTGCTGTGTAGCCCAGCTGTGCCTGGGCCTCAAAATCCTGCCTCAAGTGCCAGAATTATAGACATGCACCACGGGGCCCAGCTAGTTCCTCAGTTCAACGGTGCTTTTGTAACTTGCTTAAATGCTCTTTAAAAAAAAAATATCTCAAGTCATAAGCAATCCTTTCTTTCTTCCTTTCTTTCTTTCTTTCTTTCTTTCTTTCTTTCTTTCTTTCTTTCTCTCTTTCTCTCTCTCTCTCTCTCTTTCTCTCTTTCTCTCTTTCTCTCTTTCTCTCTTTCTCTCTTTCTCTCTTTCTCTCTTTCTCTCTTTCTCTCTTTCTCTCTTTCTCTCTTTCTCTCTTTCT